ATGTTTATGGTTATGATTATGTTTATGGTTATGATTATGTTTATGATTATGATATGGTTATAATTATGATTATAGTTTATGGTTATAGTTATAATTATGGTTATGGTTATGATTATGGTTATGAGTATAATTATGATTATGATTACGATTATGATTATGATTATGGTTATGAGTATAATTATAGTTATAGTTATGATTATGATTATGATTATGTTTATGGTTATGATTATGTTTATGGTTATGATTATGTTTATGATTATGATATGGTTATAATTATGATTATAGTTATGGTTATAGTTATAATTATGGTTATGGTTATGATTATGGTTATGATTATGGTTATAGTTATGGCTATGATTATAATTATGGTTATGATTATGGTTATGTTATGGTTTGATTCTGGTTATGGTTATGGTTATGATTATGGTTATAATTATAATTATGGTTATGGTTATGGTTATGATTATAACTATCAATATGATTATTGTTTTAAAATCTAGAAACTAATTGAGAAGAGTTCTAATCCATTATTACCGATACGAGTCTAAGAGTACAACCGATGTGTTATTGTCATTCTGATTTGAAGTAGAAAACGAGTTTTTTAAAATATTGTCGGTTCCAGTTATAATATTCGAATGCGGTTGATTTTGTTGTGGGTTATGCTGGTTTTGTAGCAAATTCTGTCGTTGACCTGCTTGCTGTGGTTGACTCATGATTTTTTAATAAAAGCGAAAGTTTAAATAAAAAGGTAGCAATCGAATAAGAAGGAAATATAATTGACGGTATATTTTCTTCTGATAGTTTTTTTTTAATTAAAAAACAGGAAACTCTCAATTAAAAGAGAGTAAAGTAATTTTGAAGGAAAATTTAAAAAGAAACGTCTCTATTTATAATTGTTTCGAAGAGTGGTAAAATCAATTACATGTATGACAATACGCATTTATATTCTGTATTAGAATAACAACTAATTTCCACAAAGTTCTAATTGGTTGAGGATATTAAATATTAATTTTAGTGTTAACGTTAGGGTTAGCGTCAAGAATAGCATTTTTTGCTTGTGTAATATGTCAGTGCCAGGATGCATACTTTAATACATAGTCGTTACTTGTTATAGTTATTATTTTATTATTAAGTAATATTTTGATGCGTAATATAGTATAATTTGTTGCTTTATTCTAATACTCAGAGTAGTACAGAATACAAATTGTACGCATTGATTTTTTCTTTTATTTAAGGAACTTGTTAATTTCTTTGTCTAAACACGGATTTCGGCACTTGCTAAAATACGGCGGCCCGCATAAATAACGCACCACTTGTATCGCTGATCATTAATCACTTGATTTGCCTTTCACAGTAACCCGATCTAAATCCTATCGAAAATTTGTTGCATGATGTGGGTGTAATTTCTAATAAAAACGATCTTTGGGAAAAGTTAGAAGAGCTTTGGGATGATATCGAAATTGATCGTTGTATTTATTTAATTAATACGATGCTGGAAAGGATTACGTAATGATGTGTGATCAAAGCAAAGGGGATTATATGAGGTGATAAAAATAATGGTTTGTATAATTTTTTATTGGCTTGTTAAAATATTGAACAAATAATTTTCGTCCAAAAACGGCAAAAAAACACACCAGTGCTCAGGGGGATTTAAAATATATAATATTCATGATTTAATATCAGATTTAAATAAATCATAGAAATTTTATCATTTGTGTTTGTCGGATCTTTCGTGTGAGAATTGTGTGATCAATGATTGGCTAGTCATAAAATGTGCAACTTTTTGATCAACCCCCGCCGGAAAAACAAGAAAATGAAAAATATGGAAAGCAGATGCCTAAATCCAAATTGGTACACTAATTAAAAATGTTGGGGAGGCAATTTTACATATAGTTTTGACTCCAATCCTAATTCTGACCTCTAACCTTAAACAATCTTTAACATAATCGGGTGCGCAGAATTTTCGAGGTTGGTAGAAATATTAACCGCAAAAAATTATGCAGTTAATCAGTTAAAAAATTTCAACTTGTTAGGTGCTTAAATACAAAAACTGAAAAAATATAATGATGACATTTCTAAATGGTCTAAAATAAAATTATATTTAATTTTTTATATAACAATAATTTAATAAAAAGTGTATAATTTAATTTTTATAATGCCGATGATGCATAAAATACTTGCTTTATACATTATAAACTAACCTATCCGAGTATGGTGTGCACCATACAACGACACAACAATGAGTTTAATTGATGTGTTCCCCTTTGCAATAACGATAACGATAACAATAATAGTTGAATATAGAGGAATTTGTTGATATACATGAATTTTCTAAGGAACACCACGATAAAAGAGATCATGTAAATAATATCTTTCGAGTGAATGTGTTGATTGTTCTTTTTTAAGAGCAAGATAAAACGTGATTGTAAGTGATATCATATATCTAAACTCAAATTTTTATATTTTTAAACTAATATAAAGACACCGTTTCTTCATATTATATTCTCAAATGGGAATAATTTGTCGTCTACAATCCATTGAACTAAATTGTAATTTTTCGTAGTCTGAATTTTTCTTTTTCTCCAAAAGCCTTTGGGTAATAACACTTTTATTTTTTTCGAAATAAACTAAATACTTTGTTGAATTTCAACCATCCATTTAACAGTAAAACTAACATTAGCAAATTTTTAAGGTTCAAAACAGAGTTTTGTTCTATAAAAAGACAGATGGTACAATAATTCTTTGATCCTTGGTCGAATCACTTGTTTGCTAGCAAATTGAGTTGTAAGTTTTGTCATGCAACCACCATGTTCCATCTTTAATGAAAATAATTATTCAAGTAAAAATTTGTTTTACATACAATACTATTTAGCGTTAAAATACATAATTTTAAGCTATTTTTTCATTATCTTGGGTATTATGAGTTCTGTTTCTCCCATTTCACAAGTACAATCTTGTCCTGTATTAATCGTACATTTAGTTATTGTTCGCACTGTATAAAGAGATATTCTTGCCTTTAATTGTTTTCTGTCGAGCATTCTTATCAAACCTATAAATAATTTAAAAGATATTATTGCCAGTGAAAGTGAAATTTTTATATCATTCGATATACATGAGCTTTAAAGATATACATGGACTTATTAATAAATGGAAAATCTGTGCACATGTAGAACGCTATCAAAAAATTATCTCAATTTGCCTAATTTAAAAATTATTATCTTTAAATGATGTCGATATTACTAATTTTGTATGCATTTATTATATTACTTAACTTTTTGCAGTCAGTAGGTCTGATTTGATAATTTCATGCAAATAGGTTCTGTTTGTTGCATTTATATTACGTATGTGTTTTGTCACCGAAATTTTAACTCAAAATTATTTACGTATTACAATGTTAAAGAAATTTTTATTTTATAAATTGATCAAGTAAATTGTAAATCATTCAACTCGTAAAAAGCAAAATTCGAATCCGTATCTTTTATATAATATACCTTATCGTTATACACGTAATTAATTGATGTACGTGAACTATATAAAGTAAGAAATTATGAATGCATGTATATGAACACTAAAAAATAATGAAATCGTAAAAAACGATTCGCTTAAATTTTGACTTGTTTAAGTTGCTTAACGTCATAAATACTTATACGCGTTTAATAAATTTCTAATCTAGTTAAGCTTAAAACATAGCGATGATTGGTTTTAAAATATACATTTCGTGAATTAACATTTGATTATCTTGGGAAATCTTGATTCAGTTCTTCTCAAAATAATTCGATTATGAGTTAGTTGGGTAAGAAATTCCTTGTCATAAGAAAAGCTTGATATTATCAATAAAATCTTGAAACCAGGGGTTAATCACAATACATAATACGTACATACATATGTACTTTGTCATTTGTTAATGCGATGTTGATTGGTGAAAAAGAAAGGTGTAATTAAAGTTGATCACCAATTGTACATGTTTATAAAGAAGAGAATTGCAAATTACAATTTGACTCTTTGAGCGATGATTTTAAAGTCATTTTCGTCTTAAGAAATGGTAAACACGTCAAATCCAGTTGTCTTACGGTAAATTTAGGCAGTTCCGATGGCGCAACAACCACACAGTCGGAAAAGCATAATTCAGTCAATTGTCCGAGAATTTTCCAGTTGGAAATTTCGGCAAGTTTCTCGTTTGGGATTCCGCATGAGTCAAATCGAATTTTGGAAAGTGTCGAGTGTTCACGCTGTAGAAACTCAAAAATATACTCGATTCCTTGATGTACTCCAAAAATATCGATTTCTTGAAGTTTTCTTTGACTATTGATGAGTTTAACGACGCCGGACCAGAATTCAAGAAATCTCACTGTTCCTTGGGATCCATTTAAATTAGCAGCTTCGGAAATTTGTAGTTTTTCAATTTTTTGATGTCGTTGTGAAATCTGTTCGAACCATGGACCGATATCTGGCATTGAGCGTAAGACGATGTCATAATAATATATTGTCACTTTTCTGATCTTTATCGAATATCGAAAGAATTGTTTCAGTATATAAAAACTTAAAAATTTCGGATCTGTTCTTGTAGATTGAAAATAAACTAAAAGTGCTCGCACAACATCATTGTGATCGAAAACTTGCATAAAAGATATATAACTGACGTATGGCTCTTTCTCAATTCGCGGAATTTCGAAACTGCAGGATTCTATAACTGCCAAATCATTTTTCGAAAGTCCATCAAAACAAATCTTGAAAAATTCAATCATTTTCGATCGATCAGATGTTTTCCATGGTTCCATTATTCCAAATGGATCTCGCCATAAGATTTGAATTGCCGCATCGCAGAATTCATGATTTACAAATAACAGGGTGTATAGTGTCGTGCTGTCTTTTGCAAAGCATTCAAGAATTTCCGGAAGAATTTGAATTGGGAATGTGAAATTTGCTTGTTTAACTTTGGTCATTTTGTAATCTCTCTCTGATTTTTTTCTGCCTAGTTATTTTTATACGGATCGAGTAGTGTTTGTCTTCTTAAATTAGGTGTAATAATGATGAAAGGTGCATGATCGGCTTGATTATTGTAATTGGAAACTTTAGTGTTTGTATCACAGCGGAACATAATTTGTTTATCTTTAATGTTAATATCGATATTAATATTAAAACGTTACGCCAACGCATTCTCCGATAGGCTATAATTTAATAGTATTTGTTAATACAGAGCGAGTTGGCTATCAGGTTCTTTGTCTTTTTTGTTTTTGATTACATTACATAAATAAAACAATTTCTCGGGTTTAGTTCTTTTCTTAATTTTTTGTGACATGTAAACGTGTTAACAGCAAAATTCTTTGTGGATTCGAAGAAAATTAAATACTATCATGTTTTTTTCGTTCCGATTATCTCCAAATTTGCTAAAAAGAATAAAATTTACTATCACACAACAAAAATATTACGTATGATAATTATTCAATAAATGCTGTTTCTTATTGTGATATGGTGCATAAAATCTTAAGTCATCAAACGTTTGTATTTTATAAAATGGATAAACTTCTTTACTAAGAAGTAAATACAAAATTTAATCCGTAAATATGATAGAATAGACCTTTTCTGAGAATATTCACGGATTAAATTTCTTAGTAAAGAAGTTTATCCATTTTATAAAATACAATCGTTTGATGACTTTAGCTTTTATGCACCATAGACTCGAAGATTTTATTTTACACTTTCATTGTGACAATTATGTGATCAAGACTTGATCCAATAGATCATTATTTTTCTATAGATAATACGGTAGCTCGTCGTTTTGAACTTGCTTGTAAACAACGGATTTTTCTTCGTTTCTAGTAAAGCTCCTTTTCATTTGTCTCAAAAAACACGCGCTCTTGTTTCTATATCTTGTTTCTATCCTCAAATTATTTTAATCATAAGACATTCACCACAACTACTCAAAAGAATTGTCTGGTGCGAAATAGACAATGAAATTCTTCTCAAAGAGCGTATGAATTCCTTGGACGTAAATTGCGAATTTGATAGCTGCAACACAAATAGCGCAGTATTTACAACAAACCGCCAATTTTGCAACATGCAGCGGACAATTTACATGTACAACAAACCCCAGTATGGAGTGTTCTTATTTTTATATTTACTTTAGCCCCATATTTTTTGGACTTTGTTTATTTATACTTTGATTTTTATATTATTCATTGAATTTTGAAAGCAAAATGTCCGGATACTTTTGATCTTGGACGAATTCTATAGCATTAAGTTTGAATATTTAAAAATTAAAAATAAATTATTATTATGGAGAAATTCTAAACCGACTTATATTTTTATTCAACATACATGTAGCTTTGACTGATCATTTGAATAAATTTGGCGCTAAGAAATTTTACAATACTAAGAATAATCATCCAACTAAGAATCACAGAAAGTAAGGTCTTGCTGTGAGCATGTGTATGTACGTATGGCCTTTTACATATTAGGAAAATTTTAAAAAAGTTCCTGTGTTGCTTTCTTTTTTTAGAACAAAAATAAAAAATTCAATCAGTTTTCTATTTAACTGTGAGCGGTAATGGATATATAAAAAAGTACAACAATAATATTAACGTTAAAAGAAAATTAAATCTGATTTAAATATTGTAATATAACACATGCATATGATTACATGTATCTCGAAAATGCGTGCATTGATCGAAAATTCAAGTCGCATTAAATAGATCAAAGATCTATATAATCATCTTACCATATATATAGAAGAGATATGCGCAAAAAGGAAGAAAGAAATGTTTAAAGTTTATTTAATGATAAGCGTCCATGGGTGTTCTTAAAGTATTATTGTCGTTTACATTTGATGTAGGAAAACGGGTTATTCGAAATATAGTTAGTACCATTAATAATGTTTTGTATCATGTTCAAATAACCAGCTGGAGGTTGTTGCGGATTTTGTTGATTCTGTTGGTTATTATTAATTCATATTCTTTGTGTTATTATAATGTTAAAACAGTTTGATATTAAAACGCACGGGAAATTTTATTCTTTGGGGGAATTGAAGCTTAGTTTTATATACACTGTATCCTTATAATTAGAGAATATCGATATTTGGTTGAAATTATACTATTCAAAATTTTGCACAATCCAACCATTCAGGATATATCGAGAAACCTCTAATCGCATTGCTTTATTATGCTCATGCAATAAAGGAAACAATATACGTATTGTTTATCAAAATTTCGATTTGTATAAGAGCAAAACTATATGTATTTGTTTCAGACACTTGATATGTGTCGTATCATTCCTGTTTATTTTTTGAGTAGACACCGGAAAAGTTTCATTAAATAGAAACATTAGTAAAGCAAGCTTTTCATTATCTTTTTTCCTTTTCAGATACCAAAGCTTATAAAAAAATATACGCTAAACGAGAAGTTGTTTGATATATCTTTTCTCATTATTTGTTTAAATATGCTTCAATTAGGGGCTTGCGAACAAAAGAATGTTTAATTACGTACTTTTATTCATTATTTTTAAAACTTTGTCGACTCAAGGTATCCGAGAAAGTGTGGCTTTTGCCGATTCAAGATACTCGAGAAAGTGCGACTTCTGCCACTTCAAGGGACCCGAGAAAGCGCGACTCGAGACTCATTATAAAAAAATGCATTTTATTATAGACATTACATACATGCGCTTTGTGTTTATCGTTATACATTTTATTAGCGTAATAGATATTACATGTACATCCATGCGTTTGTATTTATACGTTTTGGTAATTTTAACAAACTAAACCGTGAAAATGATACGTAGTTTTAAGAAATTTGTGCATCGTGACTTTCACGTATTTTATCCCTGTTCTTTAACCTTTAATCCAACAACCACGAATTTGGCTTGCCGGACCAACTGAAGTGCACTTCAGAAAGTATTATTCGCGGTGTCTCGTGGGCATGTGGTCTGGTATATTCGATAGATGGAATCAGGCCTACTTGTTCCGAGACATTGAGATTTCTTCCTGCTTAATCACGAACAAAGAAAATCGGGAAATCAGTAAGTGATGATTATCTTGGTAATAAAAGAATTTTAATTTGATTTGATTTGATTTTGCAGCAAAAAACTTCGACTTCGTTGTTATTGTTACCGCAACAACAGCCACAATTTCTACTGCCATCGTCGTCATCGTCGTCATCGTCGTCATCATCGCAGCATCAACAACCACAAGAAACGCCGCTGCCGTTGTCATCGTCGTCGCAGCAAAGGCAAGAAACGTCGCTGCCGTCATCATTGTTGTCACCGCAGCAGAAGCAACAAGAAATGCTGCCGCTGCCATCATCATCGCCACCGCGGAAGTAACAAGAAACTTTATTAAGATCACAGCAACAAAAAACGTTAAAGCCACAACGATCAAGTACAGGGTTTTTACGAACTGAAACATATATCGATATTTGCATATGTGATGGTGAAATTGAAAAATTAGATTATTAAAAGGAAAAATAATTAAGTTAAGTAAAAAGCAAAGTTTATTTTAATTTTTATAAATGTATCGGTATTCTCGAATAAAAAGCAACGTTTATTTTAATTGATGACAATACTTCAATTGCCTCTACCACCAAGTATATCGATATCTACGAATTCAACTAATCAACTATTCCAACGAAAAGGGAAAAAATCAACATGCAATGAAAAACAAAACCAAAGACCAGTTATGTCATCGCCACCGTTATTGCTGTTGTCGTAGTCGTCATCGTCGTAATTTGTGCTCGAGAATCGATTCTGGGTTCTCGAATTGAAAATCGATTAATTGAATTTATTTAAACGATCAAAATTATTAATCGATTTTAGAATCGATTCTAGGTACGTATATATACAGTGGCTCACACATGTAACGGAACACAAAAATTAACTTTCTAGCATTTTTATTTCCATGACTATTATTAGTTTGGACAAAATAAAAAAGTGTTCATTTGAAACCCTGAAACCTCTAGTCATGGAAATAAAAATGCTAGAAAGTTAATTTTCGTGTTCCGTTACATGTGTGAGTCACTGTAAATTGGTCATGCACGAATTCGTCTTTCCAAAACATCTCATAAATGCTCAATTGGATTTAGATCAGGACTAGAGATGGCGCAGCAAGTATGTGATGCTTATTTGTCACCCGTTGCAACACGTTGCAACTCCAAAATTTTATAAGCTGCAACTAGTTGCAACTAGGTGATGCTTTATTTGTCACCATGTTGCAACAGTTGCCGCGCCATCTTTAATCAGGACTCTGGGCAGGTCATGGAAGTGAAGTTATTCTCTTTCCATTCATTAACGGGATTATTTCTGTATATTCTCTTGAAAAAGATGAACATAACTAGCTGGCAATTCATCTAAAAATGGTTTAAGATGCTGTTCAAGTATTTCTACATATTTTTTTCCGGTGTACCTTCAACTTCGATTACCATTATTCCCGATTTCATACTAGGAAGAAGACAATCAACGTCGTATTTTTCATGGGGTCAACATTGCCGCGAATCATTTCTGAATAAATATCTTGATTCATTACTCCAAATTACCATTCACACGAACCCAATCTTTTCTCTCTAGACATCATTTTAATCGTTTTTGACGGTTTTTCTTGGATATAAAAGGTTTTCTTAGTCCAACCCGACCAAAAAACCCATTTTCATGAAGATTACGACGTATAGTTTTAGAAACTTCCAAAGCAGTATTACATTTTTCGGTAACTTCGTTAATTGCTTGTTGTCGATTTTCTTTTACAACATTAATTATTCTTCGGGTCCGAACTTTTTGTCAGGTTCGAGTCTGGTTCGAAATTCGAACCGAACTCGAACCAGACTTTTAATTAGGTTCTAATTTTCGAACCGGACTTTTCGTCAGGTTCGAGTCCGGTTCAAGCTCGAACCGAACCAGACTCGAACCGAACCAGACTTTTTTTCGGAACCCTACTTGTTAGTAGTAATATTTTTTTCTTTGGAAA